ATCTCTCTGTTGTTGTGTTCCATTTTGTCCATTTTTTCGTCCATTTTCCTACTGTTGTCTTCCATTTTCCTACTGTTGTCTTCCATTTTCCTACTGTTGTCTTCCATTTTCCTACTGTTGTCTTCCATTCTCCTACTGTTGTCTCTCATTTCGTCCATCATTTTACTACTGTTGTCTTCCATTTTGTCATTCATTTTGCTCATTTCGTCTTTCATCTGCATGAGCAGTGCAATCAAACTGGGGTTTTCCATTGCAGGGTCTTCCTTCTATGATTTACTTCGTTTCCATCAAAATTCAACTTGGATTCTGGTAAATCCCACTTCTGACACCAAATTCTGTACCGTGGATGACCGAGTATTAAACTATTTCTTCTGCTTCCAACTTTTATTCCACTCGGTACAACTTTAACTACGGAACAGGAACTGCACTCCGTCGCTGCTGTCACTTCACTTTCCCCCCATGGTTCTCGTCGTCGCTTATATAGTTTTCTCCAGGTATCCCAAATAGTTCTCGAAATCTCCAGAACAGGTGCGAAATTTCCCGCTTGTCAGTGTCATATTTGACCATGAATTTCGATCCCCCATTCCAAACGTAAGTACCCCAGGCCATTTCCGTTACAATATACATAACTTTGTTTCATTTCTGCGAAAGTCTTTTTCTGTATAGTTTGTTATAGAAGTTATAATTACATGTTATTTAATTTATATTCTAAATAATAGTAAATAAAACAATATCTATAATTTTTAAATCAGCATTCACTTTATATATCTCAGAACGGATGGAAATATAGCGTAGTCGGACCAGAGATTTTTTTATAATTTTTGGATGTCTTTTTTGCAGATTCAAACCATTCTCTCATTCAAAAAACAGGACGATTCCTTCAGCGAACACCCAATGTTGGGCAGCCATAGAGTCACCGTATCAGTATTGGAAGCTTTGTCGAAAATCCAACTTTACTTCAATATTGATCCAGATTTAATTCAAGCTGTTAAAAGATGGGTGCAGCTGCGACAAGAAGATGATGGTCGTTTTACTCCTTTAGACGGAGATGTTAAAGTTATTGACACAAACAGGTATGAATTATTCCTAATTATTCTTCAATTGCCAAAAGTAATTTTAGAAAGAAAAAATGCTGCTTTTTATGTTAAAAATATACTTCCTCTTGGAGTTTGTGAGTTGGACAATGTTTTAAAATCCTGAGAACTTGGAAAAAGTTCAAACAGCATTTCTACGGAGTTATAGAAGGGAATTATTTTTTTTTAAGTTGCAAAGAGCAAAAGTAAAAACTGAAGTTAGAATGGATTCTATGATTAATCGATTTTATTACCTGGGCCTACAGGCTAACTGTATTTATTATTTCAATGAATTTGTGGTAATTCTTAAAGTCTCTTAGGGGATTTATTAGTCAATTTTTACTCTGAAATCTGACTCTCAACTCTGAAAAGGTTGTCTTTTCAAACTGATTCCAAAAAGTAGTAAAATTAATAAATATCAATTTTACCATAATTTTTAGCCGACGTTTTTATTAGCTATTTTATAACTTTCAAACTAAGGCAAATGATGTTTTTAATCTGTTGTAATTTTAAAAGCTGGAAACATATGTATTCAAACCTCATTTCCCTAAACTGATCAAAAATGTGTTGTCCAAAATGCAGGAATGTACAAATCAATATTAAACAATGGCAAAAAAATGGCAAAAAATATAATTTGTATTGATTTGGTTAAAATTAAGTAATTATCCAACCAAAAACCTTCTAAATTTGCATTTGCCTTTCTGGAAAATGAGCAACAATAAAGTTTCCAATTTAAATATTTAAATACAATTACATTTTGATTAATAGCAAACACATGTTCGAATATTTTTCTAGTTCGAAAGGAGCAGTGAGGCGAAACTTGAGTGCCGAAGTCTTCCATTTCGAAAACATCGTGGAGATTACTGCCGAAACAGTAATCGCTCTCTACGAGATCGGAATAGAAACCGATGCCGATTCAGGTAAATTGCGGTTCAATATTTGAGCTAGAACTCGAAAAGGTCCACGGATAATCCTCAAAGATGTAATGAATATAAGAAAAATATTTTCTTTAGGGCATTGACTATATGACTCCTTGGAAACTGAAGTGTACGGTTGAAGAGATTGTTGAGGATATGAAATGTGAAATAATAGAATTTGGCATGTTATTTTCGGATGAAGAGGGGACGGAGAACTTGTGAAATGTCTACGTCTGCCTAAAGGCAAAATGACAAAATTATTTCTTATACAAGGTGATTCAAAATGAGTCTTTCCTTTCAGCAGAACAGTAACCCTTGCAGTTTAATGGACAGTACGAAAATAAATATGTTTTAAAGTTTAGTTTATTTTCAGACGATATTAATTTTGATAAATTCAATCTCAGGTTTCAAAGTACTTCTGCACAGTTTAATCAACTTTTTCAGTGGAAAACACGTGCATCAAGCTTCAAGTAAGATCCAAATATTTTGCAAACAATGCAAACTGATGTTCTGAAGTAAAGTTATAAATTGAAGTGGAGCAGTTCTGTAACTAACTAAAAACTGAAATTTATATTTAATCTGATTTATAGATTTAATCTGATTTTGAGATTTATTATTAATTATTTATATTTAAGAAAAACTTTAACCGACAATATATTTCTCATTGTGGCCCAAAAACTTTATAACAGTAGATTTATGT